GTTTTAGTGGACTAGTATTTTGTAAAATACAGTTCAATTATTAAACATTATCTATGTATATAGATTATTGCTATTTTGAAATAAGTTATTATAATTTATTTTTCCTAAAACATAGAGCAGTAAATAGAGAAGTAAAGCAAAGAATTATCTCTTCTAGTTAGGACCTTTGTACTCAGTTGCTGCTTGCCGTAGGTTGCTAAGCCTTTAAAACTTTTGCATGTGGAGGATATGAAACAAAATATTATTTTTTTAGGTTTTATATATACATTTGAATGACTAAAAAATCATAAATTACCACATCAATACCATAGAATTCAACTATAATTTATCAAGCTTAGTAACTAAGATGTATTTTACTCTAAAAAAAATATGAAATTTCGAGCAGACTAAAGACACAACCGGTATGCTGAATGCAGCATTGATTCAAATTAGATGTTTGTGATGTCCAGATACAAAATCTTTGTTTCTTATGAATTAGAAACTCCTAAGATATTGCTCATGTAATAAATCAAACACAGTGGCACCCCACCAACCTCTTTCAAATTTTGGAAATACTCTCTTATATACACTTACTTCTATATATGACATGAATAACCAGTTTGAAACTCAGAATGTCCCCTTGTAGTTTTCTCAGCCTTTCTAATGTGGCTAGTGCCATTTCTTTCTTTTGAACCAAGATTTCAATGAAGTAATGTGACCCACAAAAAATTGATATTTCGAATTTTTTTAATATTTACTTTTAAATTAAGAAATTAACTAATGTATAAAACTAAAATTTGAATTATAATCTGCAATTTGACACCAAACTAATTGACATACATTCATAAAATAGTAGTTCAATAAAATTTTCTGTACAAGTCAACAAATGTGATGACATGGCCTTTGACCTATTTTAGTAGTGTTAAGAAACTTCCACCAATAAAAATTAAGCCACTATGACTTTCCAAGCAGAACCCTGTCCAGACCATAACAGAACCTCCACCACAACAATCAAATTCCATGGTGTTGCAAGCCATATAATGTTCATCCTGGTGTCACCATACACGTAAACATCCGTCGCAAGTGGAAACATGAATCTGACTTTCTTCTCTAGAGAGTACAGTTCTCTAATGACAAAGCTGCCTGCCCCCCAGTGGCACAGCGGTATGTCTGTGAACATAAAATGGTAGAATTTGGGTTTCGATACCCTTGGTGGGCAGAGCACAGATAGCCCATTGTATGGCTTTGTGCTTAATTACAAACAAACAAACAGACAAAGCTGCCAGTTGTGGCGTAACCAAGCAAAGTTTATTCTGGGAGTTCAGTGCTGTATGGTCAAAACTAAGTGAAGAGTGGGTCTTCTGGCTCAAAATTCATGTTCATGAAGTTTGTTATGAACAGTTTGGTCAGATACATGAATACCAGTTGCACGATGTAGGTCAATTTAAAGGCCTCTAGCAGTACTGTGATGATTCCATAGTACTAAGTTCACCAATTAGCGGTCCTGTCTTTGATTTGTGGCACATGTATGTACAGCCTTGGTACACTTGGAAGCAACAATGTAACGTGTATGTTATTTATATGACTACTTGTTGAGTTGTGGTATTTTTTACCTTTGCTTGGAAATACATAACATTTACAATGTGTATACATCTATGTACGGTACTTATAACATTGTTCATGTGCACAGTTTTATGTCATAATATATACTTAAATGTCATTCAAATATTGAATAATCTGTACATATTAAATTAAGACTTATTTTTTGAGATTTGTGGATTTTTTTAACTAAATTAGCAGTTATTTTTTTAGAATTAAAATTATAGTGAAAACAGGAGTAATTTATTTAACCATAAAATATATCATGAAAAAAATGTGATTGACTGTTTAATCACATCAAGACCATGCTTGAATTTAATGTCATTATATTTAAACATGTTGTAAGAGTTGTGGAAAACAAAGTTTTGTATTAATAACCATAAAGTTTGTAAGAACTTCAATTATGTAACAGATCATTTATTTTTGTAATTTTTCGTTTGTTTAGGTGTTTCGGATTGGAAATCTTGAAGCAAATATCTCAATAGTGATTGCATTTAATGAAACAGAATCTGAGGTAAAGTATTATGGGTAAAAAAAGCCTTGCAGAAAGTAAAATCCCATCACTTTTTTGACATATATTTTGCAATGTGATATATTTTGTGCAGAATCTGTAATATTTGGTTTATTGCACAGTTTTAAATTTAAAATGAAATGAAAGTGTGCCTTAAATAAATAATTAAAACTATACATTGCTCTGTTTAGTGTTTGCTTACTTTATTGTGTCTAATATTTTATACTGTACTCAGGAATAGTGAAAAATAAAATATATATTTTTGTAAGTATACGATTAAAAAGGATCGGGTAATTTTTTCAAATTTGTATTTGAAAATTTTAATTTCCAGGTATTTTTCTTTGAAAGTGAATTGTTATGCATTGGTGAGCATCATTTTCCAACAACATTTGGAAGCTAATTTTGTAACGTAAATAGTTCAGTTTTCCTGTACTGTGTAGAATATTTGTTTTTGTAGGAATAACTTATATAAGTTTTGCCCCCAAGTGGCACAATGGTATGTCCGGTGAGTGACAACTATCACTTGAATATAAAGAAAGATACTTGTGACGTCCTTTTGATGTTCCAAACATTTTGCTGTTCAAGGCATTCACATTATTAATTAATGAGTTAGTGGGAGAAAATATTTTTGTGTTCCTGCATTTTCATCCTGCCTTTCGAATCTCTTTTGCTTCAGTGGTATTCTTGATTCCCTGGAGACCCAGACTGAAGCAACCAAACATCAGCTCTCATTATCTTCCCTTGTTTTCTGTTTCTCTTAATCTTGCCCTTCGACTTGTGTTTTTCGACCAGTTTACCTTTCCAATTCCAGCCTCCAGGCATTCCTTGTCTTTCTTCTTCCTAAAATGTGATTGTTTAGTGAGGTTAGGACCAGTGGGTAACCATCTGTCTCACTTTGCAACTTTGATCTCAGTTTTCTGCTGACAGATGAGTTCTTCAGGTTCTCACCCACAGTCTCTCTCCCTATTTGTATTCTCTCCTACCATCTCTCTTCTTCCTGTTTTCTCCTCCATCTGAACCCATTTATCTTCAATGTCTCGAAGATGTGGTTTTGATTCTTTTCTCCAAAAATGCAATTGAGTATGTACACACTCCTTTTCCAGGTTTATTCTCTCACCATTTTGTGGTCCTCATGAAGACTAGGGACTGGTGTCTGGTTATATGCTTATTATCTCTCCACTGGTTTCTAGCTGTTCCAGATGGAGAACTTCATTTCTTTCTGGTGGTCTTTTTTATCTGGTCTGTGTATGACCAAGGTAAATGTGTCAGACATCTTTCTACATATTTTGATTGCCCCCATCATATAGATGTTTTCTACATTACATACATTGGAATCAAGTCATGTTGACGTTCACTCACCCCTTCATGAACTGATGCTGAAACTTCATTTCTATACAGGTGATTGGCTTCTACTTGTCCCATTTTAAGAGGTGTTCTTTTCTCATATCTCATTTCTTCTGCAGGAGGCTGCTTGATTGGGTCAGCTTGTCAAGCTTTACAAATCTTTTCTCACACTTGCAACGTATTTAGTAAATATGGGTATTTTCTTCAACTTACCTCTCAATCAGTTTCACCCTTCACCTCTTTGTCTATGAGGTATAAAGTGTATGGTTACCAAGGTATAGATTTCTCATTTTCACCATGTGCAAGAAGTTTTCTTACTTTTGGGGACTTTGTTTTCCTTGGAACCCCTCATTCCCTTAAGGAATACACACATGCACCTCCTCCAGTAGACCTTATGAGACCAGTAGAATCTTTTTTAATATCCATTGTCCTTGAGGTCTCCTTTCTCCACTTCTCTTGATGGCTAGACCATGCAATTACCACAGTTGGCATTTCCTTTCCACCACCACCCTGACTGGATTTCCATCCCTTCACAGATATTTCCCTCTTGATCTCTGGACAACATTATGACTTCTGGAATTTCAGCACTGGAGGAAAGTTCACATCAATGTGCTCTAACTTATCGCTGTTCATTGGGCATGTTCCCATTTCCTACCTCTTCTATTGGATCAGTTGATCATGATCAAC